GGACTGTGGGTCATTTGAATCAGAGCTGCTCAGTCATACTAAATAAAAATCTTCTTGGTAAAGTGTGGGATTTTCTGAACTAGAAAAATCGAGGTTTTTTTCTTAGCAAGTTAAACAGCTTGAATCTGAGCTTATAACTCTGAAAAGAAGCTGATTACTAGAAACCAGCATCCCTCGTTGCAGATGTGTCAGTAAGAACTCCCAGAAGGACACCTGGAAGGCAGTGAGGATTCAGTGTGATCAACAAGTATCTGACATTGTGCTTCTCACAGGGGGCCAAAGTTGACTCTACTCGGTGTAGCTGCTGCCAGTCAGCTGTTCTGTGAGCCCAAACAAGCTGAAGATTGTGACTGGGCAGCAAGAGAGTGTGTGATATCCCGTGTTTGTAAGTGCAAAATAATGAAGAAAAGGGAAAAAACAGCTCTAATGCAAATACACAAGAACTGGCTCTAAATTAGCTAAAAAAAAAAAAAATACTTAAAAAAACCCTCTTGGGAATTGCAGTTCTTAAAAAATTCCAGCTCGTTAATAAAACAAAATAGGAACTGATGTTAAGCAGTAAATACTGTGATACTGCAAATGCTGTGGTGCAGCCCCATTTGGAATGCCAAACTATCCCAGGCATTCCATGTAAAGACAACAGAGGGGATCAGAGTTGGGTGTGATTCCACAGGAGACAGGATGAAACAGCAAGGCAGTGTAAAAGAACTGACTGAGAAGAGTAAAAACAAGATACATAAGGGAAGTACATTTTTTCACACAAGTGATTTACTTATGGAATTTGCTGCTGTGTATGTTTCATAACCAAAGGAATACAAGAATCCAAGGGGAAATTCCAGTACAGCCACACACAGCATCAACACAGCACAGTAAAACTTACCACTCATCCAAAACTATAGAAGGAGAAATGTGACTCTGTACATTACAGAGCTGGTAAACAATTAAGTTCTTTTGTCTCCCAGAAAAGCAAAGCACAGAGAAGTATTTAAGGCCACCATTTCAGTTGTAAAGCCAGGACGAGAATTCAGGAATGCCCAAGTGTCACCTGCCTGCTCACATGGCAAGGTCAGGCAGGTATTTTTTATTTCCCCTCCTGCAACTGAACATCACGCTCTGAAAGGCTCGTGTTTGGGTTGGAACTATCCTGGCATGGCAGTGGCTGGGGGATAACTTGGGTTGGAGGGGCCTCAGGAGTCTCTGGCCCACCCTCCTGCCCCAGGCAGGGTCAGCTCCGGGCACAGAGGCTGCGGCACCGCCCGGGGCAGCTCCAACACCCCCGGGACAAACATCTCACCTCATGGCCACCAACACTGAATTACTGGTAAATTAAACTGTCTTTTAGATTTCTTCAAGCTACTGTCCTACATGTATATGTCTCTACCCTCCCGGCAAATATCTAAAAATCTGGTTTCAAGATCAGCCATCGCATTGCCATCAATTTTTCTTTCAGCATGTCAAGGAGTTTGCAGAAATCCAGTAAATGAAGCTATTTTCTGACAATAGCACAGTGACATTCAAAGTTGGAAAGTACCCATAAATCTTACCTCATTTCCATCCAAGAAAACTTGGTCTTCATGTGGCTCAAGTTTAAATTTCCTCTTAGTTTCCTTTTTCTTGGGTGTTCCTGGAGTCTCATCCTGAGGACAAACAAATATTTTTACCTACATCTATAAAATCATATGTATAAATTATGATATATACATTATATATATATGAATCATTATATATATAAAAATTACAAAAATTAAGAGGTTTTAATTTCTACTATGTTAATGTAGTCTGATAACTTTTCACGAACTTAAGATCACGTTCACAATTTTTTTTAAAAGTAAAGATGTTTCATTTCCTTCTGTTCTTATTTATTACTATCTGGGTACCTCAAAAATAAAGGAAAATTGTAAGGAAAGAGAAATTTTATTTTTAATTAGTATCTAAAGAGCAGACTATGACTTCAGGATTACACTGTCTTTTCAAATGCATAGCAAAGCTGGGCTGGCACTACCAGGAAGTCTGCACAGAGATCAAGAGCAGGCAACAACACTTCACCATCACTGACCTCATTAGAGTTATTTGGTACTTTGGTGCCATATTTACCACAAGAGCATCCTGGCAAAATCAGTTTCTGCCTGTTTATTCTCTGTTCTCTTCAGTCTCTTTCTGGACCTTGTGCTTCCTGCTCCCTTGTCTCCCATTTCCTTCTCTTTGGTTATTTCATTGTGCTAAATTAATTTTCTGATTTTGGTCCTGAGTTGTTGTTCAAGTTCCTACTCACTACCTTATATAATCCACTACATATCTGCTCAATAAATAATGACTAGTTTAAAAATTAACATTACATTTAATAATGTACCTCCCCTCATGACAGCAGATTGGAGGAGCTCATAACTTTCATAATCAGCATTTTGCAGCACCTCAGGAGCTGGGTTATCTTACACTGGCTTCTATGCTGACACTGCAGCCAGACTGTTCTAATTCTTTCTTAGCCATGTAGGTTCTTTCTGAAATCCAAACCTTTGTAGACAGACTATACTCTCACTAAATTTGAGAGGAGTGTCTCAATGGGAATAACTTTGGAGCACTGTCCTACTAATTCTCACTGATTCAGACCACTGTACATAAAAGAAAAACCACCTCAATCATCCAGTTTCTCCTGCAGGTCCCTAACATTTTAATTTAGGAATTCTGTTCTGCTTATAATAAAATAAGTAACAAAATAAATCAGGAATGAAAACATGAAAAAACACACATGAAAACTTGTTCAGTAACAATAGTTTGAACCTGAAACATCAAGTAAGATGAGGCAGGATGGAGCTCAGTAAGGAGCTGTCACACAACAGGGCAGCTATTACACAGCCAGTTACAGGCACCACGTACCAAATATTACATTCCAAACATTCTTGTTACCAAACACTGCAAAATTATTTGTGTTTCACTTGTGCAGCTGTGCTGGTTTTAGATGTTTGGTCACATGCACATGTGTCATTCCATGCTAACTGAGGTACAAAGCCTCCCTGGAGAGGAGCAGGTTTGGATTAACTCAGCCCACACTAGAAGATGATGAGGTGCACAAAGGCCATCTGAAGCCTCTTTTTTGATCTAGATCTAAATAAGAACAATTCAAAAGGTAACAAAAAAAAGCAGCATATTTTAGAGATGAAAACAGGAAAAAAAGATAGGTCATATTTTAGAATAACCAACTGTATTTTTCAGCCAATGTGATCTTAACAATTGGTTAATGTATTTGTTACAGGTTTGACTCTTCTCTTACAGACAGTTCTTACCTTTTTGCACTCCTCTTTTTCACCATCCTTTTTCTTTTCCTTTTCTTTCTCCTTCTTGGTTTTTTCATCTTTGCCACTTTCCTTCTTGCTCTTTTTCTCCTCTTCCTTCCCGCTCTCAGCCTTTCCTTTTTCCTTTTCTTTCTTTGTATCCTTGTCAGGTTTCATTTTCATCACTTTCAATGCTCGATGAAAGAACTGTTTTTTCAGGAGTCTTAAAATGAAAGAGAGTTAAATGATACATTTAAGTGCAGCTGTGATAACAACATTTACACTCAATTATGTTATTAGACACCAACCTAGATTCTTTCTCTAACATAATCACGAATAGCATGACTGGAAGGCAGAGGTCACCATCATCTGCTCTATTTACTACACACACCAGACCTAATTATCCCATGTCTTGCCTGTTGCTTTGCTTTTTTTTTTGGTTCATCTGTTCAAAACTGGGTAAGAAATGTACTTTTCTGTGGCAGCATTTTGCAGTTATAGATGAATACATAAGATGTAGGAGACAGAAAGCCACCAGGTCCATTTAATTATCTCTCAGGGCTTACTGAGTTCCTTGGTAAGTGATGTACAATAAACAGAACTGCTCTGTGGAACCTGTGGTACATGTGCAAGTATTCCATCCATGTCAGCTACAAACAGACCTTATTGCAAGTGTGTGTATATATATGTGTGTGTGTGTGTATGGCCAGTGGGGCACCAGGATGTCTCAAGGTCGTCACCAACCAGTGACATCCTTGAAAGGATCACAGCCACATTCCAAACAGGAAGAGCAGTACAGAATCCAGCTCCTCAGGCAGCAAGGACAGAGAGATTCGAGAGCTCTGACCCCACTAACTTCCAATACTGACAATATTCAGGAATTCAGTTTACCTTGCTGCCCCAAGCAGTGTAATGAAAGCCTGAGAGCTTTGAGAGAAAAGATGATGAAACTACATCATTTCCACCCTCAAACACTGCAATAAAAATACGTTATTTTTGCACATAACCACACAAGTTTTAGGATGCACAAAGTCCAGCTTACATTAGTTCCAAAATAACTACAATATCTTCTCAACTACAGTAATTAATGACACTGAGGAGTTAGTCTGGGTCATACCTGTTGCAGTAATCAACTACAGACTCTCGGGTTGTAAATAGAGCCTCTTCTCCTTTCTTTGCCTTTGCCCATTTAGAATCCAGGAGGCAATCCACAGCTTTTGAGGCTAGAGATAAAAATGGAATTAAAAATGCATTAAAATTAACATTTGTTTTAACATTTAGTCTACGTGCCTTGAACCACACTGACCACTCAGTTCTGGTGATGTTCCACATCCTTTCAAATCTTTAAAGTAAGACTGGTCCCTACTCTGAAATGCATCACTTGACAACTACACACCTTTAAATCACAGAGTGAAAAGGTTATTGTGTTTACTCCAGGCTGATGAGATTAATTTTATGGCTTCCTAATGCCTCGATAAGTTTTCAAACCCAAACCATAAGATCAGTAATTATTAGATAAAGCACCAATAATAAAATCAAAGCAGCCTCTCCCGCCCTCCAAGTGCAGCGTTAGAAGAAATGTTAATTATCTGGTTAAAAGTGAGCCTACCAATAAAATAATCAACTCGGTGACCCATCATGTTGGTGGATTTTGTTGGACAGTTGAAGCGCAAGTATTTAGCAACAGCCTTCTCCTCCTTGAATGGCTCCCCAACTTCCTACAGTGGGAACAGTCAGAAATTAGTACAGTTTTAAACACATGGGATTATCATTCATTTGGGCTCAAAAATCTGATGTTGCAAAGTCCTCATTATTTCATGGCGATATATAAATAATAAATAAAATATAAAGGATGTGAAAATAGGTCAAGGCATTTTTTCCCGAGAACTTTCTGTCAACATAAAGCAGGAATTTTTAAGTTAGAGGATCTGAAGGTAAAAGTAAGAACTCCTTTAACAGCTCTGTAAGAAGAGCAAACTAAAGGAGGACCTAAGAGGAAAGCAGCGGGCACAGGGGAAGCTGCTTAAGGCACACGAATGGGATGGAAACAGTTGTGAAGCTGGGAACAAAGGAAACAGGGAGGAATGAGCATGTATGAAATGACAGCAATGTAGGCAGACTGACAGAACACAGAGCAGCCTGAATTTCACATGAGAAAGGAGGAAACCACGTTGAAAAGAAGCTGAAAGATCTGATAGAAAATTTATGTGTGACTGCACGACTACAAAATGACTTAAACTTCAGAGCACGCTTGAGGAGATTCTTCCAACCTACAGAGTAGGAGGCACAGCAGGATGAAGCACAGGAACATCTGAACAGATGCCATATGAAAAAGGAGCCCTCAGTCTGCACACATTCATGAATTCTGTGCTTTTACCACCTTGCAGAGGTAGCAGAACTTAAGAGATGTGTAGGGCAGAAGGATGGAGATGGGCACGTTCAATTATGTAAAATTAAGATCTAATATTTGCTGGAAAAACTTTCTAATGTTCCTGCTTCACAAAAACACATCTGAAAAAAAATAAATTGCGATATTAAAGTGATTCAGGCAAACTTCCTCAAAATTCCTTCCTATAAGAGTTCTTTTAATCTGTACGGTTTAATTCTCCAGCCCCTCCTGCTAGTTGTGGATCAGACTGCAGCACCTCTTCTGTACCTGTTCTTCTCCTGCTGCCCAAGGAAATAGATTATATAAGACACAAACCAGATTGGCGATTTACAGGAATTAAAAAAAAAAAATCAGTTTATTTAAAGACATAATGTTCCTAAAGGCCAATAAACATACACAACCTCCATTACCGCTTTTAAGATGTATAATCATAATATCACAACCAGCATGTGAAGTGGAAATGCAAGGTCAAATAGATGTTGTTACACCAGAATAAAAGCTTCAGATGGTAAGAGTTGTTAATTTTCAACAGTTTGCACAGCTAACTTTCAAAATCAACTGGTTAATGAATATCCTCCTAGAGGAGATTGTTGCTTTTCCTGTCTGAGGACAATTTTTAGAGAGAATAATCCAGACATAAGGTATCCAAATGACCAAAAGACAATGTGGTTTGTCAGCTGTGAGATTTTTAAAAGTCTAAATCCTCTATATGTAAGCAGAAACATGCTCTCACATTCCCCAGTTAGTTTAACAGACATGTGCCCAAATTAAGCCAGACGATCCTAACAGTCCTCAAAGGGATTATATTATCTCCTTCTCCGTGTTCAATCCTTTATTTTTACATTTTTAAAATGTGTATCAGACATCAGATAACTCACAGAAAACCATTCCCTGACCATGCATGTTTGCACATAATTTATATTGTGTGGTTTCATGTCCTCTTACATGGGACAGTTGTCCCAGTAACTGTAAATCACTGATGATGGCACCAAGTTTGGTATCAATTAAATTTGAAACAATTCACAGGGCAACTGTTCTTCATGGCACAGAGAGTAAAACAGTAAGAGAAGCTGCAGATATTCACCTCAGTGTTAATTCCCCTGATAAGGTGGTTTTTCTCCTTCTTCCTAAAATATTTATGATTCTGCTGGGTCATGTGATGCACTACACAGGCCGGGGCTGGCACCAGGAGATTTTCTTGCTCCTTTCTATCTATTGCTTTGTCCTTTCTCTGGGATGGTTTCGTAACAAGAAAAGCTTCCCAGTGAGAGAGACTGCCACAGTTTAACTGAGAAAAGTATTTCCTGCAATTTAATCCCCATTTTTCATCCTATTTTCATCTCTTTGTTTGCAGAGCCAGGTTTCTGCTAAAATATTAAAACATATGATTGACAGAAAATAATATTATTTCCTCATAAAGTGAAATCAACCGAAGTTCAGAATCCTGGCCACAACTTTTCAAAGTTGCAGTTCAATCAAACTTTGTGTTCAGTTGTAAAAACCGCCCAGATCCAGGCACTTTAAGCCTCTTTAGGCATTTAGGAAAAGATTAAACAAATTAATCAAGGGGTAGTTCTGAAAAAATTATAAAGCTTTAAACCAGGTAACACAGTCTTAAAAAGGAATATGAAAACTTCCTGCTATTTAAAGTTTGCTTCCATAGGAAAGACAAAGATTCAGGAAACATCTCAATCTATTTCTAGAATGTTGAAGATGTCTTAATTAAAATTCTATGATTAAACTGTTTTAAAGTAATAAAAAATAATGTCAAACTTTCGAATACTTCTACTCTAGATTTTGTTTAAACTATTGGATCTACTTTAGTTTTACATATTGAAAAATGCATGTTGTCACTAGACAGCATGTGAAATTTAAAGATTTACTGATACCTTACAAACTCTGGGAGAATGCCATTAAAAATAAAATCAACTGAAACTTCTTATTTGTCTAGACAGAAGAACTCCACCTACAGAGAGGAAAAGCAGTGAGTGCTCAGCCTAGTGACTTACTAGAAATGCACTGACATTTTAAAGAATAATTCTCAATCACAATTCTGCTCTATATGAATTCATAAAATGTTGAGATTTTCAAGCCCAGGGACGTTCCAGACCCACCAAAGGGAAAACCCTAATCGAATTATTTACCACTATCTCCCACATCAAAGTACAGCACAGTGCATTCTGAACTGCCTTCAATACACTGATGTAGTTCCCAGTTAATTCAACCCCCAGCTGGGACTGCAGCCTGTACACATCACAAATAACATCTGAACTGAGCTACTGAAACTGGTGTGCCCACGAGCCTCCTTCTCCCCTTCAACTCTACCTAAGTAGGAGTTGTTCAGGCTTTCTTACTCCTGGAACACTCAATGGAATACAAAAGGCCAGAGGACATTTCTGGTTTGGAAATTTCACTCATTTTATTCCCCCTTTGCATCACAGTTGTGAGAAGACAGCTATGACCAAAGACAAGATAATTTCCTTCCACAGGTCTGTAATGTAAACAAGGTTTCTGGAAAATCAGAAGAGAGTAAATAATGAGTGTCACTAACAAGACAAGTTATTTCATGTGCAGACAAATGCACTACAAGGATTTATGCTCCTCTGTTTTAAAGGGGTCATCAAAATTCTTTTATTTCAATAAAATGAATATGTAGCTTATTTCTTTGCTCTTAGATTTTCAGAACACGATCCCTCACAGCAGAGTGCTCAAGCCTAACAGTTTATACAGTTTTCAGATAAGGAAAAGAAGAAATCTGAAGCACATTTATCATGTGCAGCCTGTTTTTCAAGATGAAAGGCAACATCAAAAACGACAGTGTGCCAACCCAGGTTCCATTCCACACACCTCTCTCTCCTCATACTGCAGGGACACTGCAGCTGCAACAGGGTTCTCTTCTCTGGAGATGGGCTGAGCACATCACAGCTTGGGCTGAACTGCAGGATTATCTTTTCCCCTTCCCTGTTGACTGTCAGGACCTTAGACTGGATGTTCTGGGCAGGGGAGTGGGTGCTGCTCATCCATTCTGCTGAGACATTTATACTTTGTCTAAAATAAACCAAGGTGCAGCAGGACAGAGAAGCAGCACAGAACTGGCATGACTGGATCGCTGGGTGGGAGTGGGTAGGGGGGAAACAAACACATCAGGATCTTAGGACTTGCTCTAAGGACTCCATCTGTGTTTTCTTCAGTGACTAATAAACCTAAAACTGCTGGACTCCTGCACTGATGACCAGTACAAGGATTGCCCCAGGTCTCTTAAAAGAAACTGTGGCAGAGCCATGCGGAGAAACCAGTTCTTCTGGATTACCAGGGCCGTGTGCTGGCCACAAAACATTAACTTTTCTTTACAGAAAAAGATTAGCAGATGTTTTTCAGTCTGGTTCATATCCTATAAAAACAGAAGTACTGGTTTTCTTCATTCTTTCTTTTCAACCATTGCTAATTTTTTTGAGCAAAAGCTGTAAACGTCCAGAGTTCTCAAACACATCCAAGGAGTAATGTAAGGTACTCTGAAGCCAAAACACACCAGCTTCAGTCCCCTTCTAGCCCCAGGCCAGCTGTTTCGACTTTTTCCCTTCCCACCTCCAAAAATGTAACTCAAAATTTCCAAAAAACTGATTCTGGTTTTAATGACAAGTCAGGCTGCTACTTTTAATTCCTATTTTTCTACTTTTTTTTGCCCCCTTGATCTTTGTTTTTTCCTCCTCTATCACCTGATGCCATTTAGCTTTCAAGGAAGTTATTTAGCCTTTCTCCTTTGCTATCATCCCATTCAACTTTACCGGAATTTATGAGAAAATAAGGACAAACAGGCAAGCTGGATGAAAATCTGGATTACTAGAAAGCCATTGCATTGTCCTTTCTGCAAATCCTTTCCAGAGTCATTCACACAAAGGTGTAGCACAGGAACAGCAATGCAGCTGTTGCATTTTCCTTCCAGCAGAGCCCAAATCCTGACAGGACACAACAGTTAATGATTAGTAGATGTCCTTCATCAGGAGAATCTCACAGCTTCAATCAAGGGAAAAAAGTCAACAAGGAAAGTACCTGTCACTGATGCCACCTCAGCCACCAATCTGCAGTGAGACACTGCCCCAAGAGCTGCCCAGGGGCTGTTTGCTGTGTCCCCAGGGGTGGTGTTTGTGTGCATGAACATTTCTGGAGCGCAGGACACGGCACGAGGTGCGAGGCAAACGCTGTCGATCACAACGCAAAGATCAAACCCAAACTTGACGCGGGGAGACTAAAACTGTGCACGGTGGAACCCAGCCAAGGTAATGAAAACTTAATGCCTGCTTAACAGTCACACTGCAGAGCTGCCAACACAGTGCCACGTGTTACCCGGCCCAGCGCCGGGCACAGGAACCAGCGCCGAGGGTTTTGTGGTGAAGGGAATATTTCAGGACATGGATGGAACTGTGTTTTTTTCCAAGACATGAAACAGCTTTGTTCAGGTTGCTGGAGTAACAGGCATTCAAAGCCATCTCCCATCTTTTGACATGTATGTGGCTAAAATAAAAATATTAAACCAGCCATTAGACAACATATGCTGTTGTTCTTTCAGTCAGTCCTTTAAACACAGCAAACATTCTTGATTTCAGACTTTTGAATCCTGTGGGAGCCACTGGGGGAGTGATCTGCATCCTACAGACCAGTCAGTCTCCTTTCACTACTGCATCCGAATTCATCTCTATGTTAATTACAGTTAAATTACCACCAGGAACGACACTTGGAAAATTTTACCTCTAAAATATCTTTGTTCAAATTTTTGAAGTTAAAATTTTTGCAAGTTTCACAACTTTCAGAGGAAGAGTCTAAACTGTGCAATACAGATTGGGCAACGTTGTCTTTCGATGAAAATACATTCCATAGAACACATCCTTCCTGTGACCACTTCCGATGGGAAGCACACAGAGTGGACTGGACAGAATTATCTTTTCAGACTGTTTTCATGTCTAGCTCTCTGACCCAATTACCATGATTCCAATCTTGATGGCAGGCATAAAATCCTATGAAAATTATTCCAAACACAGGTTCTGTGCACATGGTATCATGGTATTGTAATTGAGCTCCATTACATCAGCCTCTAGCACAGCTAAATACACCACCTGCCCCCAAAACCCTCACTCCTGTAGAGAAATACAGCTCTGCTTAGTGACAGTGGGGTATTCAGGTGTCAGACATGCTTGCAATGTGATAAATAATCTCTTCATTAAGGAGCACACATCACACTAAATTAAGTACACCCTGCTAAAACAACTGAAGCACCTACAAATCCCATGCTTCTTTTTAAAAGAAGAAACTTCCAGCATTAGCCAGAAAGCATGATACTTATGCTGCAAGTATATCAATAAAGTTCAAAAAGCTTAAAAAAAACCCAAACCCAAAACCAACTACCAAGAAAAACGTGTTGTTTTACTCACTGACCAATTAAGAACACCCCTTGGGCATTCACCAGTATTCTTTGTTCAGGGTCTTGTCTTCCCATTGGTGCTGACATACACTGGGAACCTACCAAAATCCACATTTATCTCCATAATTATATCACAAATTTAGGCCACGACCTTAAGCGTTAACACCCAGGCATCGATTTAATTACTAACAATCTGGGAAATACTTTTACTGCTAACAGGCTGGAAATTAAGTATGTGCTTAACTGCCTGCAAGACCACAGCCCTGGGTGTTACACAAAACATTAAACTGCATTTAAATTGGGTTGGATGGATGCTTTATTGAGCCGTCAAGGGACAGTCTATAACAATCACGAAAAGAGAATAATTCTGTAATGTTTTACAATAATTCATTGAATGCTGTGATGGATAAGGCTTGTTTAACAAGATTTTGATTAATTACTCCTTGTAATTCTCCCCCTGTCCCCATAATTGGAATGAAAAGGAAAAAAGGAACCATTACAAGTATGGGCAGATGTCCATCCTCTTGGGGGAAGGCAAAGTGGGCTGGGAAGGGGAAAGATGAGAAAGGAGAGAGGGCAACCAAGCAGAAGGGTGACATATGAAGTGCACAGTGTTGAACGGCTCTCTGATCTCTGTCAATATTATCTGCTCTTACAGCAGAGCAATAAATCCCAAACAAACACTGTTTAGGCTTAGTGTTGATAATACACAACAGTAATAAGCATTATAGTCACTGATACTGCAACTGTGCCCAACACACGCATTAAAAACTCTGTAAAACTCCCTGCTGACACACCAGACTTCCAGGTAAGCGAAAGCACCACGGCAGCCTTCACTTCGCCTCTCAGTGCCACCGCACAATTATCACTACATTTTAACACGATCTCAAAGCTGATTAGGTCTATTTTTAGATGCGGCTGTTTGTTTATGTTTTCCAGACGCTAATTTCCTTTCCTTACCGCATCATTTCCTGGCTGGGGCACGTTTGCTTTTAAGATGCTTTTACCATCTGTCCCACGTCTTTTGCTTACGATCCCCGGGCCGGACACGCCGGGTGAAGGTGCAGCTCCCGGGTGTTTTGGTGTAACCCGCACTAAGCTATTGTTCACACCGGTAACGGGTGCGATCCTGAGAGTACCACGGCGATTATAAACAGGGAACAGCCTGAAATCTCTCTCTTTGGTCATCGAGAGACGAAGAACTTCTGAGGGCTCAGACCCCATGGGGATGAAGCGGAGGCGCCTCGGATATGCCGGGGGGCCCCGCCGGCCGCCCATCAGCCCCTCGACACGCTCCGACCTGCGCTCTATTTGCACAGTTTACCGATCTGCCAGAAAATCCTGAGGAAAACTCGCTCGTCCCGTGCCATCCCGGGCTCTCCCCGCGGCCTGAGGCGCCCCCGGTGCCCCGAGACCGGGGCGCTCCCCTCCCTCACCGCGGGCCGCCTGCAGCCGCCGTCTGGCAAACGGGGAGGCCGCGGAGGAGCGGGGGAAGCCGCTCTGAGGACGGGGAGCGAGAGGCGCCGCGCGGGGCCCGGCGGGGGTGGAGGGATGGAGAGGAGGGGGAGTCCCGGGTACCTGGACGCGCTTCCTGTGCCGCCGCCGCTCCGCCATGTTGTCCCCGTCCGCTCCGCCGGTGACGCGCGGGCAGGGAGGGGGGGCGGCCTCGCGAGAGGCGGCGGGAGCGGGCGAGGGGCGGGGAGGGGGCGCGCCCTCAGCGCCTCCGCCCAGCGCCGTCCCCCGCCCGCCCCTCAGCGCCGCATCGAGCCGCCTCGGTCCGTCAGTGCCCCGGCGCCTCAGCGGCCGGCTGCGGTCCCTCAGTGCCCCGCCTCGGTCCCTCAGCGCCTCATCGACCAGCCTCGGTCCCTCAGACCGACCTCGGTCCATGAGTTTGCCTCAGTCCCTCGGCGGGTCATTCTGCCTTAGCCCCTCACCGTCCCTCATCCCGACTCAGCCCCTGAACCCCTCAGTCCGCCTCGGTCCTCCAGTGCCTCCCTATCGGCCCTTCGGCGCCTCAGTCCCTCAGTCCCTTCGCGGATCTTTCGCCGACCTTAAGTGCCCTCCCGCCACGCCCCGCCTCAGCACCGCGCCTCGGTCCCTCAGTTCATTCTGCCTCAGCCCCTCACCGCCTCCTCTCAGTCCCTCATCCCGCCTCAGTCCCTCATCCCGCCTCAGCCCCTCATCCCGCCTCAGCGCCCTCCCGTCGCCGTCCTGTCTCAGCGGTCTCGGTGCCTCACTGCTCCCCCTCAGCTCCTCACCACCACACCTCGGTCCCGCAGCCTCTCACCGCCTTCCCTTCACAGTCCTGCTACAGAACCCCAGAGCTGTTAGAGTTGGAAGGGACCTCTGGAAATCATCCAGTTCATCCTCCCTGCCCAGGCAGGGTCACCTGAAGCAGGTGACACAGGAACGTGTCCAGGTGGGTTTGGAATGTCTCCAAGAGAGGGAAACTCCATGACCTCCCTGGACAGCTGTTGCAGTGCTCTGCCACCCTCAATGTGAAGAAAGTCATCCTCATCTTGAGGCAGAACTTCTTGTGTTTTAGTTTATGGCCATTGCTCCTTGTCCTGTTGCTGAGCACCACTGAAAAGAGCCCCTCAGTGCCTCTGCCCCTCATTGTCCCTCATCAGTCCCTCACCGTCCCCACTCAGCCCCTCATTGTCTCCCCTCAATCCAGTAACCCAGCAGTTCTCCAGCTCTTTGGCTGTAAAAATCTATACATTTAGTTCTGATACTCCTCCATAATATGTTAGGCCGTAAAGATGCTCTATGCAGCAGGCCTTTGTTAGCTGATACCTATTTAAACAGATTCACTGCTCAGACCTCCTCATTTACTTATAGAATTAGAGTCAGAAAGCAACCTATATAAAGCAGAAGGGCCTTTTGCCTGAGGTTGTCCCACATACTTGCACTGTGAGGTCACTGAAGTTAGCAAAGCGTATAATCGTTTGTCCTGGCTCCATGTTTCCAAACCACACCCTGGCACTTTGGGATGGAAAAGTATGTGCAGTGCTGTGTCGTCTTGTTCAGTGCTCTCAGATCTTGTTGCCCCTTCTTGTGCCTACAATTTTGGAACCCGTCAGGTTGAAAACTGGGCAATTAAGAACCTAAAAACGTTTCCAGCAGCGTATTTGCCCCTCAGTCACTGTGCCAGGTTTTGTGCTCTTGCTGGTACGACATCTTTTTCTGTTGAATGTTTTCCTTTTGCTGTTGCTGGGCAGAAAATCTATACAAGTTACAAATTAAGCTGACTGACTGCAGAGCGAGTCAACCAGAAAAGTGTAATTCAAAAGATAAACTAGGGAAAGGGAATTGAAGTTTTTATGGTTACAATAAAACAATGCCGTGTAAAAAGTAGGCAAACTGCATTTATTAAAAAATGTATGTTTTAAGCTGGCAATAATTCAAGCAGTTATTTCATCTGCTTGACTTACAGTAACATAAAAGCCCATCTGACATGGAGGCTTTCTTGCAGAAGTTGTTTCAGCCACTTGTAACTTACAGATTGCTAATAATACATGATGCCTGCAGTAAGGATTTTAGCACTGCATAGCTCAGACCCTCTGCTCTACCTGCACAGGCACAAGCTGAATTTCAGCTGTGAAGCTCTCCCTGCTCCATGGAAGATGCAGTTTGGAACCACACTCCTGCCTAGTCACGCTGCCCTCCTCTTGAAGGATGCAATCACCTCGTGATGGGTCATCATCCCTCATACCTCTACTCTTGGGCTCTTTTAAGATCTTACTTCCCTATGCTCCCTGTCTCTTTGAATCTATTGCTGATTCATAAACCCATTTTTAATGCTTAGCTCTTCATTTTGCAGGTTTTTTTTTTGGCATGGTATGTTATCTGCAGAACATCAAGCTGTTTGCTGCCAGAAAAGTACCTTGACTATCTGTTTAATCTCTATTTTGCTTTCCCTCCCTCCCCTCCAGAAATTTTAATTCATCTGAACTTTGAGAAACACTAAGATGCAGGAGCTCTTCCTAGGACAGCTGGGCACAGAGCAGCACAGGGAGCAAACCCATCACTTCAAGCAGATCTCTAAGAAAGGACTGAGGGATGGAAACTGGGCCAGGGAATGTGTCCTCCTGTGTAATGCACTGGATGGACCTACCACTATGGAGCACAGAGCAGAGCAAGACTGAAGTGTACCTGGAACAAGTTTATTTGCAGTCATCAGTATGATGCAAACAAGAGAGAAGCAAATGGCTGAATCCCAAAAAAAACCAGGGAGTGGAAGTGAAGGTTCAAACTGCTTGTGTTTAAGGTCAGTGTCTGTCAGCTGAGGGGAAGGCTGCAAAAAGCAGCATTTCAGAACCTCACAGTGAAGTCACAGCCCCTAAAGGGCCAACTGCCCTTGTGATTAGGGTAGATTCAGAATTGCTGTTGGGAAGGATATTGCACACAAGAGGAGTGGTTTCCTCTTTCAACTGAAGCCAAACCAACAGCATTTCATTAGCTTACTTTCCCTCTTCTTCGCCCCAGCTGTGTGATCTAACACAGCAGTAAGGATGCTGGAAACTTAGTCAAAAAAACAACTGGATACATCAATGGAACGAAAATGCATCACGAGCTACTGTTAAATACAGAAATCACCTCTGTTTGTGAAATAGGTCCCTGGAGATAAAGGAATTATTCTGAAAGATTTGCTTTGTTCTTATGCTCTCCTTTAGTTGTCCTCTCTTGGCCCCTGAGGCAGGACACTGAGATAGGTGGTGTTCTACTCTTCCTGGTACATATTTTCTTATACCCTTAAATTCACTTGTTCCTCTCAATTTATTGGCATTTGTGCTCTCTGTTGTCTGATTGCTTTGGGCTCAGTCATCCTGGATCCATAAGATCATGTGGACTTACCACTGTGACATACACATCAGAAGGACAAGGCTACATGTTGGCAATTGAATTACAACCATGTCTCTAATTCTCTCTGGAGTCACGCAGCCTTCTGCAAAACAGAAGCTGAAGTCACACCAGAAGTGAGAGCAAGTGTTTGCTGAACAAACCATTCACTTGCAAGAAGCTTATCCACTAGACCCATGGATAATCCTTCTGGCTTTGGGGGAAGAGAGGGGAGAACACAAATCACAATTACCTCACCTATTCTGTTGAGGGGCAGGAAGGGAAGGAGAGGAGGGAAGGAGGGGAGGGAGGGAGGGAGGGAGGAAGGAAGACAAATTCTCCAGCAATGTTAGGAGACATCTCTTAGATCATCTGCAGGTGATGTCTGGATGCAGGCTCTGGACTGTCCTCCCTTTTCATCCAATCAGCTTCAGCACCGATTATGGGTTCAAAACATAAGGAATAGGGGCCTTGTGCTGTACAGCATCACATACAGTCAAGGCAGGTTCAGCTAAAATCCACCCACAAATACATGAGTCATAACTAAGAAACACGTTCCACTGTAGACATACCCTGAGTCACTTTCATCTCTGAAACTTATAAATATTTAGTTAGCCACTTAGCTTTTAATTTAGCAGAACAACAAAGATTCATCAGACAAATCTCCAGAATTATCTTTCACTAAGAAGCTTCTTAAATAATTCCTCTCATTCAAGTTCCTTTTCATTTCTATACAACTCAGAATTATTTGATACATATAATCGACAAAAGTCACAGGTGAGCTAAGAAATCATTTCTCCTGATTCTGTTCCTTCTGCAATTAGTTGCATCTATTTCAAATACCAGCTTTGTTCACTGCAAGAGTATATTCTCATTTTAGTAATAACTGTTGAACCCTAATAAGGACATTAAGGGCATATCTCTCCTGGTGTGGGGTGGCACATCAGATCTTCCTAAAGACCACTGTCAGTCAGACTGTGCTGGAGCCAGTGGGGATGTACCTGCACACATAAATGGAAAACACATCAATACATTTTTTTAAGAACCAGCTGAGATTGGGAGAAAAAAAAATACATGAAAAGGGCTTGCTAGTATCTCTGTATTTTTGGCAGTGGCAGGAGGGGAGGATAAGAATGGTAATATTTAAGGATATAGCATTAGGAGAAACTATTTGTTATTGTTTTATAAAAATCATAGATTTGTTGTTATGACTACAAGTGGTTGAGTTAAAAATATTTGTTATATAAAAATGTGAGTCTTGAGTTTACTTCCCTCCATTTAACAGATTGAACCAGGAGCCAGTGAGAGCTTTACAGACCATCCTTCAATGCAAACCATTTAGGAACTGCTGGAGTCCCAAGAATCCCAGCTGTGCAGAGCTGTTTGAACCCTGGGACTGAAAGCTAATCAGCAAAGAGGAGAACCAGG